AGATAAAAGAAACGAGATACACAGAAATGTGAATAAAGAGAATATTTTAATATGCACTGACAAGGAGATGGCACGAATTGCGAAATACGAATTGGAATATGCCCTACACCATTTATTTTATAAAATGTTCGTGATGTACAACTCATTTGTGTTTCCAATGTTTTTATATTATTTTTGATTTAAAAAAATGGATACTGCGTGGTCTCGAACTCTCTTCGTCAGATGTAAAAGTAGTACGTGCGCGCCTAAGGGTGCATCTCGATGAAGAAAGAAATAGCGGAGAGGAACAGTAACGAAAAGGAAGCAGGATGGGGATTAACAAATGAGAATGATTCCATTCCGCTTTTTTACACCCGGACTCCCTATGGTAAAACAATTCTTTCGCAGCATAGCGAAATTGAGTGGAATGTGGTTGAGAAATCCAATATTGTGGATTAAATGTGGATTTAAGACATTTGTGCCCGATATTGAAACGATTTTCCAATCGCGCGGAGAAGAAAAGAATAAATGTAAGTTTATCAATTTTTTCTATGCATGTGTGCTATGTATTTACATATACAGGGTGTCCCAGAAAGTTCGGGACACCTAAATATCTCGGGAAATACAAGTTTTACAGAAAATTGTTTCAGACAAAAGTTATATGGATTAAAAATATCTATTTACTGATCCTATCAGTTTGACCTTGGGTTGCGTAGCCAAGGTCAGGTCAAAGTTACATTGATTTTCTTAAATGGAAAACTCTATTTTTGATTCAAGAATCTAATAGCTGATGTCGAGAGCTTTACAAAACGCTAATGAAATATTTTTTCATGAAGTACTTTTCAAGTTATAATGCTTCAAAGTTACAGTATCGCCGGCACTAGCATTACCCAAGATATGTAATACCACGCGGAGGTTGCCCAGGCGGATTGACATGTCTTTTGTGTTCGGAGAAAGATTGAAAAATAATGAAGGTAAGATCGGTCTGTGATTCGGCCAGTCTAGACAAGATATGAGCATGAACCAGCCAGTCAAGGCAAGATATGAGCCCGAACCAGCCAGTCAAGGCAAGATATGAGCATGAACCAGCCAGTCAAGGCAAGATATGACCATGATCCAGCCAGTCAAGGCAAGTTTTAGACATGAACCAGCCAGCCAAGGCAAGATATGAGCATGAACCAGCCAGTCAAGGCAAGATATGAGCATGATCCAGTCAGTCAAGGCGGAATCGACCGGTGGTGCGGCCAGTCAAGGTAATTATATTAAATGCTCGAATTGTGCACCATTTTCTGTTTGACAATGAGCTATTCGATCATAAAAACTGTATATGGCATTTCTGAGGATTTCTGGAGTAATGAGTGCAGCTTCTTCAATAATCCTTTAAAAAAGTTCCTCTAAATTTCTTGGTTTTGTTGCATACACTTTGCCTTTCAGGTAGCCCCACAAGAAGTAATCAAGCGGTGATAAATCAGGTGAACGTGGTGGCCACTCTATCTGTCCTCTCCTTCCAATCCATCGGTTGAAAAACTCCGTGTCTAAGAAGTTTCGTACACTTCTACCATAATGCGGTCCAGCACCGTCTTGCTGAATCCATGTATGAGCAAAGTTATCTCCCACAATCCGTCTGATTGATGGAACTATTTCATTCCTCAGCATATCTTCATACTTTGCAGAGTTCAAATTTCCATCAATGAAAAATGGGCCGATCAATGTATTTTTTGACATACCTGCCCAGACGTTCAACTTTTGAGGGTATTGCGTGTGTTACCGACTCGGTCCGGCGTCCACTTGATATGGAGTTGGAGGCGCTACGTGGCGCGCAGATAGACAGTAAGGTGGACGCGACGTTAGATTTAGTTTTATAAGTTTATGTTCGAATGCAAGTAACACTCACATTGTCTCGTGCTTGCAAATAAAGCAATTTTAAGTTTTCATCCCTTGGCATCATTCACACCAATCCACAACATAATTTTGGCGCCCAACGTGGGGCACGAGGCGAGGAAGAAATCAGAAAAGCATAAGTGAAAGCAGACAGACGCATAAAGACATTCTAGAAATCGTCGCAGTGAGAACGGACGGAAAACATGGCGGAATTGAAGAAGGCTAAATTAACGCGAGCTCGAGTCAAAGGACAAGTGACGCGGATTTTCAATTATATCTCAACAGAACAAGGCATCACATATCAACAAGTAGAGACCCGTTGTCACAAACTGGAAGAATTGTGGGCAGCGTTCAATGAAAACCAACTACAACTGGAAGAATTACGCATAAAAGAAGAGGAACAATTGGAAGATGTGGTGAAAGAGGAAGAAGGAGAGAGAATCGTCTTCGAAACCATGTACTATGAAGCAACAGACAAGGTACGCAGCGTCATGGCAGAAACGCAACAAGCAGCAAATTTAGTGGTAATGCAAGAACAGCAAACGAATAGGGAACAGCCTCCAGGTACGATTAATGTTAAATTACCGACGCTAACCTTACCCGCGTTTGATGGTGAGTACGAAAAATGGATGTCTTTCAAAGATGCATTTACGTCCTTGATACATGATAATCGAAAGTTAACGGCAGTTCAGAAATTCCAATATCTGCGTAGTACGGTAAAGGGCGAAGCCTTACAAGTAATTAGTGGACTGAATACAACGAGTGAGAATTATGTAATTGCTTGGGACCATTTGAAGGGCCACTATGAAAATAAGAAATTGATTATCAACAGTCATTTGACACGGTTATTGGAATTTCCGCAAATTACAAAGGATAAGCATAAAACATTGAAGCAGTTTATAGTACATATTAGCACTCATTTGAAAGCGTTAGAAGTGTTAGGACAACCCGTCAATCAATGGGATGTGTTGGAGAAGATGAGAGTCAGCGAGTTACTGCTCGTCGACAATTCGCTTATCGAGTCGGTCGCGAACCGATCCGTGTAGACAAACACGAACGCGTGCGGCGCTGACCCGCTTCCTGTGTTCTTGATACGCGCGCTTTTCGTGTGCCCCTTTTGTTTTTAAGGTTCTGTTCTGTTTGTTGTTGTTTAGCGTTGTCAAGGAAGATCAAGTCAGGATCTTCTATGTATTACTGAATCAATTTTAAGATATTTTGTGTAATTCCTATTCAAACGTATTGCATTGTCACTCATTAAACCGGTATTAGTCCTGTTACACGGCTTTTAAGGGGCTTTGAGCCCAATTGAGGCTTTTAGCCTATTATCAAAAGTCGCATTCAATTCTTGTTTAATCAGGAGCTCTAGAAGCGAGTGAAACTTGTGAAGATTGCTTATATAACGGCAAGTAGTCCGTCTAGGCTTCTTATTCTCAACGGCTAGCAGTCCGTGAATTGATATTGGTAAAGGGCGAAGCCTTACAAGTAATTAGTGGACTGAATACAACGAGCGAGAATTATGTAATTGCTTGGGACCTTTTGAAGGGCCACTATGAAAATAAGAAATTGATTATCAACAGTCATTTGACATGGTTATTGGAATTTCTGCAAATTACAAAGGATAAGCATAAAACATTGAAGCAGTTTATAGTACATATTAGCACTCATTTGAAAGCGTTAGAAGTGTTAGGACAACCCGTCAATCAATGGGATGCTATCATTATTTTTCTTGCTAGGAACAAGTTGGATTTTCATTCACAGCGTGAGTGGGAGGATGTAGTCGGACAACAAGAACAAGATCACATGCCAACGGTAGAAGAATTTCTTAAATTCTTGCAGGAAATATGTCGAACATTTGAGATGTTGAACAGTGGAAAGGTTAAACAGGAGCCTACAACACAAGATAACACCAGCAAGAAGGTTGAGAAGCGAGTAGCGTTGGCAGTCACTACGCAAGCATGTCCGATTTGTCAGGAAAAGCATCACATTTCTAATTGCGAGGAATTCTTAAAAAGATCGGTTCAGGATCGAAAGGCAGAGGTAAGAAAGAAACAGCTGTGTATTAACTGTCTAAGAGCAGGGCACTATATAAAAGAATGTAGGTCTTCAAGTTGCCGTAAGTGTTTCAAGGCGCATAACACGCTGTTGCACATAGATCAGGCGAGCGCACAGTCAGAGTCTGTCGCGAACCCTGATACGCAATCATCAGAAGAAACAGAGAAATCGACGACTACCCTGTAATTTTGTTCATTGCATGAATCAAGCGGATGATTCTACACAGAATAATGTAGCATTAACAAATAGTAACAAGTCAAGTTCACATTCACTAATATTACTAGCCACAGCTCAAGTGTACGTTCGCGATGCTCAAGGGAAGCAGCAACAATGTAGAGTTTTGCTGGATCCGGGTTCACAGTCGCACTTAGTGACGAAAGAATTAGTTGATAAATTAAAACTGCCGTGCAAAAGAGCGAATCAAATCATTAATGGTGTCATGCAATGTTCGACGGAAATTAGATATTCCACGAGTCCCATCATACCAACTTTAAAGTGCAGATAGATTGTTTGGTGCTTCCTACCATAACAGAACGATTGCCACAAGTCAAATTAAACAAAGAAAACATTAAGTTACCTGACGACGCTAGAATAGCAGATCCCTCCTTCAACAAGCCAGGTAAAATAGACCTACTGATAGGCGCTGGCTTATTTTGGAAATTATTGTGTGTAGGTCAGATACAAGGTGGCCGAGGGAATCCTACGTGGCAAAGGACCCTTCTTGGATGGGTAATCGGAGGTGAGATGGTGCACGCGAATCCTAACAAAGCCTCAACGTCGCTAGTCACAACGAATCAAGCTCTACAAGAACAAATCGAGAGATTTTGGAAACAAGAAGATATTCAAGAACCGCGCTTACTCAGCAAACAAGAAGGTTACTGTGAAGAGCATTTTATCAACACATATTCAAGAGAGTCGGATGGAAGATTCATAGTTAGTTTGCCGAAGGATTCTCAAATTGCTCTCGGAGACTCACAGGAAACTGCGATGAAGAGACTACTCGCGCTAGAAAGAAGCCCTCAAAGAAGAATATGTTCGCTTCATGGAAGAGTACAAGGATAAGGGACACATGAGTACGGCATCTGGGGATGTCGCTTCCAGCAAGAAACCATCGTACTTTATACCACATCAGCCTCCGGCCCGAAAGCACCAGCACAAAGCTCAGGGTAGTATTCGACGCATCGGCCAAGACAGACAACGGAAAGTCACTCAACGACATGTTGCTGCCTGGACCTAATTTGCAAAACAACTTGTTATATCTTATGTTACGATTCCGGACGCACTTGTACACAATAAATGCCGATATTGCAATGATGTTTCGGCAAATAAGGATAGTAAAGGAAGATCGCAATCTTCAGTTGATCCTCTGGAGATGTCAAGAATCTGAACCGGTAGAGGTATTCAGCTTAAATACTGTCACATATGGAACCGCCTGTGCGCCCTATTTGGCACAGTGTTGTTTGCAGAAACTAGCAGAAGAAGAGGGAGAATCATTCCCCCTTGCAAGGAAAGCACTTCAATCGGATTTTTACATGGACGATGTAATCACTGGATCCGACGATCTTGAAGAAACTATTATGCTGCAGAAACAACTTATGACATTACTAGGAAAAGGTCAATTTCCTTTGAGAAAATGGAGAGCAAACAATGAAAAGATATTGCAACATTTGACAGTGGATAGCAAGGCCGATGAACTATTGGTATTAAACAAAGAAGAGCCTCTGAAGGCACTTGGATTGCTATGGGATCATAGAACAGATCTCTTGCACTATAGTATAAGGAATATGGACCTTCACCGAGCCACTAAACGCACAGTATTATCGGAGATATCAAAGATCTACGATCCATTGGGACTTCTATCACCTGTACTTATAGTCTCCAAAATCCTCATGCAAAGGCTTTGGTTCTTAGATGTTGGATGGGACGAAAGCCTGCCGCAAGATCTATACACGCAATGGAAGAGTTATCGTTCGTCTCTAAACCAATTACAGGAGATAAGGGTTTCTCGTTGTGTAAAGGAAGGCAACGCAAAGGCGAAATTTGATTTACATCGATTCGGAGACGCCTCCAAGAAGGCCTACGGCGCATGTATCTATGCAGCCAGCAAGGACGTGGATGGTAATTTACATTCAAGACTTTTATGCGCCAAGTCAAGGGTAGCACCCTTAAAAACAAAAACCATTGCAAGGTTGGAGCTGTGTGCGGCACTACTAGTGGCTCAGCTGTGTCACGAAGTACAGGAGGCACTAGGCGAAGCAACCAACAATATTCACATGTGGACAGACTCCATGATTGTGCTGGGATGGATAGAAGCCTGCTCCAGCACCTTGAAGACTTTTGTGGCCAATAGGATATCGAAAATACAACAGCTCTCGGCGAGAGAATCGTGGCATCATGTGGCGTCTGGCGATAATCCTGCAGATATCCTGTCGAGAGGAACCACTACTCAGCAACTAAAGGATAACAGCCTATGGTAGCATGGACCCAGATGGCTTCGTTCAGAAGAAGAATGGCCAGAGCGGCGTGAGAACATCCCAGAACTATCGGACAGAAGAGAAAAGAAGATCTCTGTTCTAATCGTAACTTCGTCACATTCAATATTACCCAGTGTATCTTCATTTGAACGGATCGTAAGAATTCTAGCTTGGTGTTACAGATTTGCCGAAGGTTGTCGTCGCAATAAACATAGGGGCGGTCTCATCGTCAGTGAGCCGAATAAGGCAGAAATCGCGAGGATAGTCCAACATGAGTCCTTTATCCAGGAAGTTCACAGTCTCAAAAAGAGGAGTGCTATCAAGGGGAATAGCAAGTTGATCGCACTGGACCCATTCATAGATAAGCAGGACCTAATCCGAGTAGGAGGTCGTTTACGGCATGCTGACTTACCGGAAGAAACAAAGCACCCTATCATACTGCCGTCGCAACATCACATAACTAATCTGATATTGAAGGAAGAGCATTTGAGGCTACATCATTGCGGAGTCGAGCAACTGTTAGCATCAAGCAGAAGAAAGTATTGGATTCTAGCCGGCAGAAGAGAAGCTCGAAGAGCAGTCCGCTCATGCCTAAATTGCTTTAGAACGCGTCCTCCCAACTTGTCTGTGAAGATGGGGGACTTGCCCAAGGAAAGGGTAACTGGATATATCCGTCCGTTTGCTATTAGTGGAGTGGATTATGCAGGGCCTATATTCATAAGGGAGAGCCGTCGCAGAGGGCGTTCAAGGCTTACATTGCCTTATTTATTTGTCTCAACACAAGAGGTATTCATCTCGAGTTAGTCACGGATCTGACGACAGAAGCGTTTTTGGCAGCTCTTCGTCGTTTTACCGGAAGGAGAGGAATTTGTTCCTGTCTGATATACGATAATGGCACCAATTTTGTAGGTGCCTCTCGAGAACTTAAGAAATTATACGCATTTTTAAAGGAAAAGGAAGATACAATACAAACACTGTTGGCGAAGCAAAAAATAGAGTGGAGCTTTATTCCTCCGAGAGCCCCAAACTTCGGGGGTTCATACATGGGAGTCTGCAGTCAAAATAGTAAAAAGGCAATTTTACGCTGTGACCAAGGGTTTGGTCTTGACGTTTGAAGAATGTTACACTCTTCTCATTGAAATCGAGGCGGTAGTAAACTCTCGACCAATAACTCCGTGCTCGAATAATCCTCAAGATTTGTCTGTATTAACCCCTGCCCATTTTTTGGTGGGAGATTTTTTGTTTCAGCCCGTACAAGGGAATTATGTTGATGTTTCTGATAAGTATCTAAGTCATTGGCAACACCTTCAAAAGATGCGGCAAGATTTCTGGAGGCGCTGGCAGACCGAATATTTGACAGAGCAGCAACGTCGGAGTAAATGGTTTCGTGGAACTACAGCCTTGACTAAGGGAACTCTGGTACTCCTTAAGGACGAGCGTCTGCCTCCTCTCCAGTGGCATGTAGGAAGAATTACGGAGGAGCACCCCGTAGCCGATGGCGTAACTAGGGTGGTCACGGTCAGAACGGCACAAGGCCAGTTTAAGCGAGCATCACGCAGCTTATGTCCCCTGCCTATGGAGGATGACCTCCTTACACCAAGAAGCAATTGATACAGTAGTAATAGATAAGATCGTTATGATAAACAATGATATGTATAAGTCAGAGTATAACTTGAAAGATAGTCTTTCAAGGGGGGAGAACTGTTACCGACTCAGTCCGGCGTCCACTTGATAGGGAGTTGGACGCACTACGTGACGCGCAGATAGGCAGTAAGGTGGATGCGACGTTAGTTTTAGTTTTATAAGTTTATGTTCGAATGCAAGTAACACTCACATTGTCTCGCGCTTACAAATAAAGCAATTTTAAATTTTCATCCCTTGGCATCATTCACACCAATCCACAACAGCGTGTGATCTTCCAGCATCCAGTGAGGATTGTTGTCAGACCAGAATCTGCAGTTATGTCTATTGACAAGACCATTCAATTCAAAAGTAGCTTCATCAGAGAAAACTACATTGAAAACAAAATTAGGGTCATCATCAGTTTTTTTCATCATGACGTCGCAGAATTCCATGCGACGATCAAAATCATCTTCGGTCAACTCTTGTACCAGATGAATTTTATACGGGTGTAACTTAATTTTCTTCAAAATTCTTTGCACAGACATGCGACTAATATCATGTTGCTGATTTGCTTTGCGAATATTGAGATGGACATTTTCGACAAATGACTGTACAACATCCAGCTGTTTTTCTTCACCAATCGCCGATATTGGTCGTCCTGCAATTTGGCGATTCTTTACGCTACCAGTTTCATTGAAACGCCTGACCGTTCGCTCCACGGTGGATCTCGAAATGGCTGTATTTTCATCGCGAAAAGTTTCGTTAAAAATCTGCCTAACTTCATTGTACGATCTTTGAAGATCACCCCATCCTCGTATCATGAGAAGAGATATTCTCTCTCGTTCTGAAAGATAAGCAATCGTAGGTGAAAAATAATAAAAACGAATATTGAATCTGTGAGGGAAAATATTTCAAACAATATGAAAAATTTTTTTAATCAATTAATTTTGAAATAATTTATCCGGCTGAATCAAACAGATCGCTCAGATAAAAGATTCGAACACATTGAATATTCGATCTATTCGAACAGTTCGAAGTTCCAACAAATGAGCATTTGATTCGAATAGTTCAGACAGTTCGAACAATTCGAACTTAAACAGTGATCGGTATGAATTGTCAATTCGTCATGTCTGAAGTTCGGATAGTAAAGAAAATGAAGTATGCATTGGAAAACTAAACGTAACGTGTTACGGATGTTTTTGTGTGGAGACCCTCACGATTTTGCTACGTTACGTTTTTGTTTGTGCGTTAACTGAAGGTCAAGATTCACGGACCACCGACCGATCTCGCCTTGACTGGCCAGTCTCCATTTGGGTAATGCTAGTGCCGGCGATACTGTAACTTTGAAGCATTATAACTTGAAAAGTACTTCATGAAAAAATATTTCATTATAGCGTTTTGGAAACCTCTCGACATCAGCTATTAGATTCTTGAATCAAAAATAGAGTGTTCCATTTAAGAAAATCAATGTAACCTTGACCTGACCTTGGTTACGCAACCCAAGGTCAAACTGATAGGATCAGTAAATAGATATTTTTAAACCATATAACTTTTGTCTGAAACACTTCTGTAAAACTTATATTTCCCGAGATATTTAGGTGTCCCGACCTTTTTGCGACACTCTGTATACGAATGAAGCATGTTTTAAGGTTATGAAATCGTCGCGTTTCCCAAATTGTCTGTCAAGATGCAAAATACATGTGTATAAATAAATTCTTGTTACAGAATTCGACGTCATATCTCACTGCCTGTCAGTGTCGCTAATTTCAACGTGGTAAAATATTTCGTATATTTTATATTTATTAATTAAGAAGTCAGAGAGTCTCATTTAGGATGCCAAAAAAAACGACGATATTTTCGCGAATTTTTTTCTCAGCGACCATTAAGCGGATCAATATAAAATTTTAGGGTTGTTTTATGACATCTATAGACAATACAAAAATATTTTTTTTATTTAAAAAAACATCATTTTACATTGTTATGTTTTAATACGTTTATACCATCGTGCAGTCGGAGTTGTCATTTTGTGTAACGTCTAGCGGATCTAATTCTTATGTGAAATAAAAAACCAAATATTTTATTAATCTTCATGAAATTTTATCCTAAATAAAGTAAGAAAACCAAGAAAAAGTGCAGAATTAAAGAAATTATACGAGTTTAAAAAAAAGTTACAATTTTTACGAAAAATTTTTGACTTCTTTATGAAAAAACAATTGTTTAGTTACAATTTTTTAAAAACGTTTTTAGTTCATCGAGGACAGTAAGTTATTAGCTAACTAAAAAGCTTTGGAAAAAGTGAATCGGTCATATACTTTTTTTCTGAGGCGTTACACAAACTTGAAAAATGTGATTTCGAGAAAAACGTTTAAAGTTTTCGATACGAAATAATTATAGTTATTACAAACTTACAGCAATTAGATGCTAATCTGCCATGTCAGGCCCATATACAAAGCCTTCCGCTACTTCATACGATTGATGCGCGTTTAGACAGTCCATTCATTGCTTTTGGATACATTTTGTCGTTTTCGAATGTTTTCTAACGTCCAAACTAACTGAAGTTCGAGGCAAGACCGATCGCCACAAATTCTATACATATCTATCGGAATACTTCGAATTTCGGTTTGTTACTTCAGGAACTATATTTTAAACAGTTTTACTATCGATTTATGAAAAAAAATCGAAAATTTTGAGTTTGTAAACCAGGATCCGCCCTTCAATATACTCTTCCTCCCTCCCTCCCTCTCCCTCCCCCCCCCCCCCCCCCCTCCCTCTCTCTCTCTCTCTCTCTCTCTCTCTGTATATACATATTGTATACATATTACAAATAATATACACATTTTGAATTTTAGGACAAATTTAAATGTGCATATTGTAAATGAGCATTGAAATATGATCAACTTGCACAGCATTCTTGTTTTGTGGATACAAGCGTGGATAGTGAAAGGAATGTTTTTCTAGAAGGTACATTGAATTTTAAAATAATACTAATTTCCACAATTGTTAATAAGTTGTATAATTTGTTTTACTAATAGAAATTATATTGTAGAAAGAACAAATAGAAGACACATTTGATAAGAATAGGCTCGACGAGGATCTTATTACAGCTGTACAAAACAGACCTGCGTTATACGATTTTCGTCTACCATTAAAGAAAAGAGGAAGAAAACAAAAAGATGATTTGTGGAATGAAGTCAGTATCTATTTAAAAGGTAAAATTGAAATATTTATATAATTATAGAGTTATATAAACAACATACGTGTAATATCAACATAAAAATGAAGTTGAAGATGAAACAAACTTATATTCGTTTCACTCCAACATTAGTGTATTAGTTTGAAATATTTCTTTAAAAGTCTTCAATTAATAGACTTAGTTAGATTTAAGTTTATAAGAGATTTGTAAAGAACTTTTTGTCTTGGTGATAGTTCTTTATAAATCTCTTATAAACTTAATTATTCAACAGAAAGTTACTAGTTAGTACCCGTATCAATTGCACGATGTAAACTTGGCCTTGTGATTGTGGTTATAAATTTTATATTATAGGCTCGCGTACACACCATCTGAAGCTGAAAAGAGACGGAATTATTTAAAAGAATGCTACCGGAAAGCAAGAAATTTGTTTAAGAGATGACAAATTATTCAACAGAGAAGTGGCTCAGTTGGTATATCAAAATCAGAATCAGTTATGCCGTCTTTTCGACATTATGATGTTCTATGATGTTTTTAAATGATATCTTAGAACACACACATCGGCAGTAAGTAAAACAATAATTGCTTAATTTATAATTACTAATTTTGATAGTTATTTAACACTTAACAATAAAAAGATTCGTTCATTGTGTGTTGTACCGCGTCGTATCGTATCGAAAGTCTGAGATTGCAAATAAAATTCGTGTCCGAACTGTGATCCCGTTCATCTACGACGGGGCAGAGACTTCTTCACGGGCTGAGCTCAAGGTCGAAGTTGTGCACGCGTTTGACAGGGCCAAGCGCCCCGCGATTGCCACGATCCGGAGATTTTCCGTCGTTACACCACCTACGAGTTGTCGAGTTGTGGAAAGCTTAGAGCTCGCCCCGTGGAGAGAAGAATTTCTCGCTACTAATACCGCGAGTAGAGTACGCCGCTTACAAGGGTAATTCCGTCCCTCTTTTCGCCTTGCTGACTGCATGAGCAATTATTTATCATCTGGCGTGCACGACCTCGTGTAGGAAAGAGCCGAATATATTTGTTAATATCTCTTTTCTGTTACAAAATTTGTCTATTTTATTGTGTATCGTCCTGCTCGTTTTCCAAGAATTCTTCCGTTCCCGGCCAAGGACCACCCCCTCTACCAATCTCGTGGCTGAGTAGTCGGTTATTCGGGCCGTCCGTATTCGTGATCGAGCCGAGAATTTCGAGTTTCCATAGAATTTTGCAAGCTAGCTTCGCGAAAGAGTGGCACGCTCTCTCGTGCCTGGCGCCCAAAAATCCGGTGTTTAGAGTTTGAGTAATCGGATATTGTAAAAGCAATTAATGTTACCGACTTTGAGCGAAGAGTACAGCAGATTCGAGAGACCATAAATAGTTGAGATCACGAATGCGCGACGAAGATTATGCGCCACTCTCGTGAGTACGGTCGCAGTATATGGAACTTTAATCTTTGTTCAATTACAAAGAAGATAAATGAGAAAGGATAACAATTATTAAGATAAATATGAATAGCATCTATAAAATTTTTTTGTTGGAACCGTGGATGTGATAAGAGGATAATTTTGTTTATGAAGCTGATAATTGTGCCTTTTTTGTGGCAATTAATTTGTGATATTATTATAGTACACTACTCAACAAAATCTAGGGAACACTTTCAAACACGCTAAAAATTGAGCAATATTCAGAACACCATAATTCAATGAAAAATCATCGCAGAAAAAAAATTAAAAAGAGATTTTAAAGGTTAAAATCTCAACTTTCGAAATCTATAATTGAAATTTCAATATGACTGATACT